TATGTGGGGTGTGTTAGAACGAGCCGTTTTAGGTAGGCGTGGTTGACTCTTAACTTTCATAAAGAATATCTCTTTGGATTTGAGACTTTAGTCTTTGCAACGTTACAGATCTTCTTTATGCACCAAGAGCTTGTAACACTCCAAAGAGAAAGGAAAAATTGAAATCGCATCATATGACCCCTTTAATAATAATAATAATAAAAATAATAATAAACACATAAAAATAATTTTGCAAGTCTTACTTTATGAAATTCCATTTGGCCCTCCGGCATTGTTCTAGCTTTGTGAATGAACATAATTGGTTCAGTGCCTCTTTAAGTCCCAAATTTCCAATTTTGCTCAGAAAAAGCAAAAACAAAACAAACAAACAAACAAAAAACCCTGAAATTAATTTAAACAAACAAACACACATACATACAGACATTAAAATAAATAAATTAATCTGTTTAGTATAAAATCTGTTTGGTATAAAATTTACAGTAGGAATTTTTGATTTTTGGGGGTATAAAATTCCAATTTGCATTAACATATACAAAATGTATTCTCAGAAATTCTATATACAAAACATATTCATGTATAATGCATGTATAATTGGCAATCATTACAATTTCTCCTGACTTGCATTGAACACTGAGGAAAGAATCTGTCCACAGTGAAAACACACCTCAGAACTTTTATTTTGAGTTCCTATTTGTACATTCAAAATGCAATTCACTTTAGTTTCTTTTACTCTGCTCCTTTATCAAAGTGCCCAGGTTTAGGGTGAGTTTCTGTAAGCCAGAAGTCTGTTGCCTTTGGACATCTGTACCTAACTGCAGCCAAATGCGTCCCTCTGACGAGGCAGGACATGCTGGCTGCAGCTGAAGGAAGGTGACGTATTTTCCAGCTTAAATGAATTTCATTGTGGGATTTTAGGTTTCACGGCAAATTGGACTTGCTTATTCTGGCTATTTTCTCTTCTAGTTTAATTCATATTTTATTTGTGTATAATTTTATTTGTGAATGTGTTCTTAGCAATTAAACAAGTGCTCTGGTATTTTCCATTTGTTTGACCTGTTGCTTGGCATTTGTTTTTCTTTGTTTGCTTATAGTTTTGTGTTTTTGTTTTGTTCATTGTTTTGTTTTTGGTTGGTTTGTTTATTTATTTCTTTGTGTTTATTGTTTATTGTTTTGTTTTGTTCTTTTGTGTTTTGATGTGTTGTGTTTTGTTTTATATTGTTCTGTATCTACTTTTTTGTTTTATTTTGTTTTGTGAGGGACGACTCTTTTGCCACATTCATTGTCTTCCCGCTGTTGAGTGTTAATATTTTGGGTTCAACTGTAACATCGTCTTGTCGCTAACCCTAGCCTTTTATTACCTTTATTGTCTTCTCTTTTACACTGAATAATAGCAAAACATACATGCAAGGTATTGTTCCTTTCTCAAGATAACTTTTCATGTGGTTTTCATACAACCTGTGAAAAATAATGGGCCAGTAAATAATTTTTAATTATAATGTAAAGTAAGGTTTTTAATTTAGTTTGCCCATGTGTTTTAACGAAACATTCTAGATGTTTATCTGTTCATCGAAATTGATATTTTGAGGCTCAACATATAAATTAACTGGAATATACACTAATGGTCAAACGTTTGGAATAATTAAGATTTTTCATGTTTTTGATAAGAAGCCTTTTCAAAAGTATCAAAAATACAGTAAAAAAGTAGTATTAATAATATTAATTTTCCCTTGTAGAATAAAAGTCCTTTCTTTCTTTCTTTTTAAATCTTACTTTCCCCAGACTTTGGAATGGTAGTGTATTACAGTTATAATACAGTTGTATAACAAAAACTGTTTTCAACATTGATAATAATAAGGAATGTTTCTTGAGCAGCAAATCAGCATATTAGAATGATTTCAGAAGGATCATGTGACACTGAAGACTGGAGTAATGATGCTGAAAGTTCTTTTAAATTGTAATAATATTTCAAAATATTACAGATTTTACTGTATTGTTGATCAAATAAATGCAGCCTTGGTCAGCATAAGAGACTTCTTTCAAAAACAGTAATAAATCTTAATTATGCCAAACCTATGACCAGTAGGGTACATAAAAACTATATGCTGCTCTATGCAGATTAGTTGGTTTTGCCCCTCTCGGTGTTCTACCCCCAGCCTGCCTCCTAAACTCAAACTAATCTCTCAGTCTGTCGTGGGACCCTCTGATGTGACCATGGGTCTCTCTAATCTCTCTTGAGTCAGGATGACTTTCTTGACCCAAGTCATGATTCTGTTACTATTATTTTTAAACTTTTTTCCCCGTCTAATTGAATTTAAATGTTTATTTTTCTTCTGAGATGGAATCAACTGCAAGAATTCTGCTGCCTAAATCAATAAAAGTGTAATTCTCTCACTGCAGGAATGTGTGTCTGTCCTCCATTGGTGAATTCAGATTGCATTTTAGTTTGGCTCCTCGGGGGACCCCTGTTGGCTTGTGTAACAGTTTCTATCAATAGTGAAAGCTCTGAGGGCTCAATATAACACAACGCACTCAGGTTGCTGTGTTAAGTTGGCCATTTGCCGAGTAAAGAGTACAGTGCAGGCCAGACTAATGAATCAGAGGGGGTCTTGTAGCTCTGACACAGATTGTCCAAAATTGAATATACTATCTGTTATCTAACTCTGGTTTATCATCTAATGAATATGAATCTTTTGACTGTTAAGTTTGTCTAACCTGCATTTTTCCATGTTAACATTCTCAGATTCCTATCAAAGTTGATGTTACACTGGACTTCAGACCCACTGTACATAGAAAGTTGATTTGCAGCCACTTTTAGCCACCTTAAATCGGCAGAAGAGACAGACGCTGTGTGTTTCAGCGTCTGTATTGTTGCACGCCTGCCAAGAGGTTGCAACATGATGCATAATGAAAAACTCTGGCTTTGTAGTCCAGGGTTTCAATTAATAATTAATAATTTCAATTAATCAACAATTCTGCACAAACATAGGAGCAGATGACTCAAATGTCACTGTATCAGATGTCAAACTGGCAATACGTTTCTCCCTCGTCTTGATGTGACAGAGAATGAAAATAAGGATGGGAAAATAATCAGTTTTACAAATATTAGAATTTTTTTGATGCATATGACTCATATGCTAACCTCCAGACATATAATATAAAGATCTGAAAAATGCATTTTATGCCTTTGACTCCAAATCAAATGGTTGAAACTCATACATGTCACACCCACAGTTGATTTGGTTCAGGAAGGACGATTTCAAAATATTGAATAGACAGTGGTTTGTGGTTACTATTATTGTCACGTCAGACAGTATTTCGCACATGGAAAGATTTCTTCCTGATTTAATTATGTATGGCTTGACCATACTTCCTGTGCATGCAGGTGTCCTCATGTTTACCATGCCACATTTATGCAGCAGTTTGATCCATCCCATTAAACTAATTAATTTAAACTGTTTATGTTGTGAGACACAACAACAAATCTAATAAAGGATGAGGATAAGGCATAAATAGCAAGGAAAGTATAAATAAAGCTTATCAGTTTCATGTTTTGGGATAAATGCTGAAGGTGGATGCAAATCATTCTCTCTGATTAATGTGTGAGTGTTGTTTCACTTGGTGTTAACAAGGTTTTGTTACTGTTGCTTTAGAATCGTTGTTGTTATCTGAATCAATTCTGTTTACAGGTCTTGTTTTTAGACCAGCTGTGTAGTGTAGAAACTGAACTATTGTGGCTGCATCCTTATGATTTGCATATGAGCCATCATGGTTTCATGGTAAATGGTGAGGTCACATTATATAGTGCTTTATAGTATACTGTTTTAAAGCTTCACATTAATGAAAAGGAAATCATGAGGTTTTTTAAAGAGCACATTCTGAGATAGCAACATACAGAATTTGAGTTTGTTTTATAAGGAGGGGTGTCAAGCTCACCCCATTGTTATTGTCATTCAGTGGACTCAATATCTCATTCAAATTACATAATTCATATTGTATTGGTTCATAGGCTTTTTTTCAAACAAAGGAGCCAAGCTTCACAGGTAGATATGATAAACAAAAGCTATCTTTTTTTATTTTTGTATTCAAGCCATCTGGCTGTTTCTGTGATGCTCTCGTCTTGTTAAGTCTTGGCAGCTGTCAGAGTTTGGCTGTGTGGTTTGGTGGTTGAAGAACTAGATTACTGAAATGTTGGTTGGTACCACCCATGATGCAACTCATGAACCATCCCAGTTTTGCAATCAGATCCTTTTGGTGCTTGGCCTCAAAGCACTTTCATTTCATCCATTTCACCATCTTGCAGTACAACAGATGAATGTTAAAGAAATATTGTCACTGTTATAAGGTTTAAAGAGTTAGTTCACCTACAAATGAAAAGTGGATATTCAACAACATCATGTTTGAAACACAAATGAGGATACTTTTAAAATTCTCTCATTTTTGCCCATCATTTTGTAATCCATATGAGTCAAGCGGTTTAATCTACAAAGTCTTCAAAAGAGAGTTTTAAGTTAGGCTTTTATTTACATATAAACATTTATCATGTGCATGTGCAAAAAGCTCATAAAATATGGTAAATAGAAGCTAAACGTGCTTGCTTAAAATGAAAAAAAGCATTAAATTGTTTATGGAATTCTAAATGATATCTGTTCATTATATAAAGCGATCATGTTTCTTCGGAGGACTTTGATTTAACAGCTCAATGAGTACAATTATGATTTTTTTGGGAGAACTATCCTTTTAATAAGTTGTTTTTCAATTTCTTTTTATTCTCTAATATGCACATTTATGCGAAACAAACAAAATGATTGAATAGGTCTTATAGCACAGACAGGATTCATGTACCTTCTTTAAAACTACTGTATGTGAATGCTTTACCTCATCCATTTGTTTAAATGAGGTGTGGATGTTGTGGTAATTTTCAAGGCAAATTAATACAGAAGGCCATTAGATGCACTAAAAGCAAATAGAATTGAACAAAGCCTTCTTCATTTTAATATATTTTAATGGTCAGCTTTTATTACTCATTGGTTGTCTCATTTTCATTTTCAGGAATTTCTCTCTGAAGCAGGGAGTGTCTGCATACAAAATGCTCTGCAGTTTTCTGCTTCATAGGTCAGACACTGGTTTATGTTGTTTCTGTGGCTATGCTCACTCCCATCAAAATTTGTGCAAATTTGTATAAGAATTTGCTTGCATCATTTGACACATCTGGATGAGAGATGTAGACCCTCAACTGGAATAAATATTGACGCATATGCCATGTAGACAGTTTTTGAGGGTCATATGCAAGAGCTCATTTACTGTAGATTTCCAATGTATGCTTAAATAAAACCCAAGACATGAGAGGATATTATGGCTGTGTGTAATGTCTTGGAGAGTGATGTCATGCAGTAACTCTACATGAAATGCTTGTTTTTCTTTTTTCACAGATGTTATTCAGCATGATCATTTTGCTCCCGTTGTTTGTTGATTCATTTCCACAGCATTTCAACTGCTTTTTGTCATTTACCCTAATGATAGATAATGCTCTGTCAAAGATTAAAAACAGCAACTATTGGAAAGAAAAGATAAAAAGCAATCATGAGAAATGTCTTGACTTGACTGGGACTGTTGGCTCATGATGATACCTTGTCTATGCCTTTATTCACTGATTCTGATTGTACACACTGCAGATGCATCGTCCGCCTCTTCTGCTATGAGCATGGGAAGTCCTCGCAGGGCTTTTCCCACCTCTTCCACCTCAGCTTCAGAGCGGCTCGCCGTGCATGAAAGCAGCACCCAGGGAGATGTTAGCAGTCGAAGAAAAGCAGAGGTTCTGGCTGCAGAAAACAAGCTTTCCGGTCGAGAAAAAGGTGGCCAGCAGACCCAGCAGCAACACCAGATGACACCCTCCAAACGGCCTGTCCTCAACATCTCGCCTCCACCCGAGGACCTGTTCGATGAGAGCAACATGTCCTGCCAGGATGAGCTGCTTCTCGACTCGGAGCAGAGTAACAGCATCTGGATGGAAAACTCGGTGTCCAACTTCAGCATTGTGAGCTCCAGCTCCTACAATGACAACACTGAAGTGCCCCGCAAGGCCCGCAAGTGCACCCCGCGACAGAAGCCCGGGCCAAAGCCGGTCCCTGCTGAAGAGGCCAGCATGGATGTCTTTGATGCAGATAGTGCCAAAGGTCCACACTTTGTGCTCTCGCAACTTGGCCCAGACAGCAAGACCTGTTCCAAAGCAAGGTGAGTCATTTAGTATCACAGTACACTTTGGGCCTTATGGCATTCATAAAAACTGAACATTAGAGACAACATTAAGGGAATGTTCCGTTTTATAATTTTGCAAGAATTATAGGAATGTTAGGAATTTGAATGTTCTCAGAACCATCTGAAACAAAGTAGTAACATTTAAAAATGTTAAAAGAAAGTGGCCTTAACTACTATGTACTAAGTACATTTATATTAGTCATTTGATACAATGCACTTATTTTGTACACACGTTTTTACATTGTACTTATATTTTAAAAAATACCTACATGTAATTACATCTGTAATTAATTTCTGTAATTACATGTATAATTACACTGTTGACCCATCCCTTACACCTTAAGCTTAATATAAAGTGGGACAGAATGGCCAAATAAAATGATTCAGAAAAACGTTCCAAAAACGATGTTTAAATGATGAACGTTTTGAGAACGTTATTAAAAACCAGATCACTTTGAATGAACATTCTATTAACGTACTGAAAGAATGTTTGTTCATAACTTTGCTAACGCTCCCATTAAGTTATGAAAATGTTATTTCTATTTCATATTTCTTCATATTTCTATGAATATGAAACCAATATGTTCCCTGTTATCTGGGTTCGTGCAAGTGTGTTCACACATCAAATAGACGTCTCTGAGATGTACATGCGGTATCAGGGAAGTTTTGCCTTTATGTTCCGAGATATAAAGTACAAACGGGATTATATGACATGGCTTTTAAAATCTGAATAGATTTTAAAACACTGGGTATTGTACACCTTTGGTGACTTTGTAAATAGTTACAAAAACTGGGCATCGTGCACTAAATTCTACACTATTGAGGATCACACACTAGCAGACATTCAAGTTGTTCCAAAGCGCTACGAACTCATGCAGAAACATTGCTAGGAGGCACATGACAAACAAATAAATAAATAAATACAATTTGGCTCAAAATATCATATGTTTGAGCTCCTTCGACTGGATTAACTGGAATTTTCTGTAAAAATCTCTCAACTCCGATGGCTGAAAATCTGCAATCTGGCTCTGACTTTTGGTAACTAATTTGGGCAAAAATTATGTAGTATTTTCCAGCCTCAAGTCAAACAGTTATTTGAAGAGTTAATGGTGACAGAAATTTTATTTCTGGAAAAATTAAAGGTCCATAAACCGCCATTAAAGTAGCTTGTAACTGATGTTCACCATCTTTGTTTCATAGCTCTGATGGACCACAAGCTTCTGGCCTTAAAGGTGGGATACTGTCTTGTCAGTATCCTCAGAAAAGTGAAGGGAAAGAACTGAAGATTGTGGTGCAGCCTGAGACTCAGCATAGAGCGCGTTACCTGACTGAAGGCAGCCGTGGGTCTGTGAAAGACCGAACACAGCAGGGTTTCCCTACTATCAAGGTGGGTAACACACAGTTATTTAAACCAGAATAACCTAGAGCAGGTAAGAAGGGTACTATTCATCCCTAGTAAAAAAGTAATAGTATGAAATAAATGTATTTTAAATACAAGTATAGTTCAAATCTATTAACATATTTACTAACATATCACTCGAGACTTACTGATATAAAAATTATAATAAAATGCTATTTTGAGTACTACTTGTGCACAATGCACGTTTCTTAATATTAAACCTAAAATGTGTTTTAATGTCACTATTGATGAGGATTGTATGATCTTTGAATAAGCAAGAGATTTAAAGTGCACCTAAAGTATACTTGCAATAGTTCCACTTAGCACAATAAAATATACTTCAGTACATTAAAGTGCATTAAAGTACAATATTAGCTGTTCAAACTTAGCAGACTTTAAGTATACCCATTTAGGATACCAAAAGTATAATTGCAGGGTATTTTTATTAAGTGCATAATGTCATGTAGATGTATTTGTAGTATACTCCGAATGAAATAAATGTATTTCAAATACATTTTAGTATATTTATTTTTCACTAGGGATTTCTTTATGTGGATCCTTACAATGTGGAGGAAAAAACTGAGTGCCAAGTCTTATGGTTCTTACTTTTCACTGTTGATAAAAGGATGCATGTTACTCTGTTAACCGCAAGTTTCTTGATCCTCGCAGCTCGAGGGTGTGAAGGAGTCAGTGGTCCTGCAGATTTTTGTGGGCAATGATGCTGGACGTGTAAAGCCCCATGGCTTCTACCAGGCTTGCAGAGTTACAGGCCGTAACACAACCGCCTGTAGGGAAGTGGACATCGAAGGCACCACTGTCATCGAAGTGCCTCTGGATCCCAGCAGCAATATGACTCTGGCGTATGTAAAGACATGTCAGCTTCGTAGAATTGCGTCAGACTTTCGAGCTTTGCATTCAGAGGCTGTAGTGACCAAATGTGGTTGGAAGTATTGATATTGACAATGACCAGCTGACGTTCGGGTGTCTGTACAGTGTTGACTGCGTGGGGATCCTAAAGCTCAGGAATGCCGATGTGGAGGCCCGTATTGGGGTGGCTGGATCTAAGAAGAAGAGCACCCGTGCCAGACTGGTGTTTCGAGTCAACATCCCACGACCGGATGGCTCTGTGCTCACGTTACAGACCTCTTCGTCTCCCATACTGTGCAGTGAGTGGCTTTGGGTTATTCATAGCATCTCCCTGCTGGCGAGCCCAGCTGGTGCTCTCATCACATAGGAGAGGTAGGGATTAGAAGGGGGTTTAATGAATGTTTATATTATTAAGGCCATAGAGCCAAAAAAAAGAATGAATCCAAGGCAGAGCATCAGGTGCCTACTGAAGAGAGCTACTAGGTTTGTGGTGAATTGCACTACTTCGTTTTGAAATTGAATTTCAGTGTCACCAGCAAGTAGAGGAGTATTTCAGGTTGATTGTAATTTAAGTTCTGCTGACACCATCTGTAGCATTCTGCTGATTATCACAGGAAATGATTTTGATTGTGTTACTAAGGACAGAAAACACATTTGCATTAGGATTCTAAAGGAATAGTTCATCCGAAAATGAACTTTTGTTGAAAATTAACTCATCCTCTCAGGCCATCCAAGCCTAGATGTTGATGAGTTTGTTTCTTCATCTGAACAGATTTGGAGAAATGTAGCATTACATCACTTGCTGAGCAATGGATCCTCTGCAGTGAATGGGTGCCGTCAGAATGAGAGTCCAAACAGCTGATAAAAACATCACAATAATCCACAAGTAATCCACACCACTGCAGTCCATCAGTTAATGTCTTGTGAAGTGAAAAGCTGCGTGTTTGTAAGAAACAAATCAACACATTTTTAGCTTCAAACTGTTGTTTGCGGCTAAAGTATGAGTCCTCTAACCATAATATTGTCATAATATAAGTCGTTTCATCTGAATCAGGAGAGAAATATGCACAGATCAAGCACTGTTTACAAGTGAAAACTGTTCTAAACCAATATGTTGGCGGATTTTGGTGGGGGTTGGATGTTTTCACTGGATGAGGGGTTATTATGGATATTTTGGCCCAAAATGATGGTTTAAATAAATAAAAAAAATGTCATAATGATTAATTTGCTTCATACAAACATGCAGCTTTTCACGTAACAAGACGTTAAATGATGAATTGGAGTACCGTGGATTATTGTTATGTCTTTGTCAGCTTTTTGGACACTCATTCTGACGGCACCCATTCGCTGCAGAGGATTCATTAGTCTTAAAGATGTGAAACTCTTGGTGTAAAATGCTGAAGAACAGTTAACACTAAAGTAAATAATGCAGACACAATACAACTATGTGTATGTTCACGATTAATTGCAATTAATTTGATTATCATGTAATTCATTTTTGATTCAGATTTTTAATCGATTGACAAGTTTATACTAATTCACTTATAATAAATGAAGCAATTGTACCACACCATTAAATAGCAAAAATGTGAAGCTTGCCTACTTACCATGCATTACCAGCATAATACCTATGTTCCTTCATGGTTTCCATGTATGGATACAAAGCAAAAACAACCAGGTTTTTCACTAGCTGATTTGGCTATATGGCTTTGTTGACCTGCACATAATGTCAGATGTGCGGAAACTAAGTATTTAGTCATAGTCTGCTGCACAGAAACGTTGTTACCTGGCTGTGTATCCTAATGGTCGCTTTCTCTCTTTCTCCGATTGGTTCTGTTTTTATAGCCCAGCCTGCAGGAGTACCTGAGATTCTCAAGAAGAGCTTGCACAGCTGTTCGGTTAAAGGGGGGAGTGAAGTCTTTATTATTGGAAAAAACTTTCTCAAAGGAACCAAGGTCATATTTCAGGAGAATGCTTCAGGTATCTCTACATGTTAAAAAGTGTCATGCCCTGTTCTGTGCAGATTTCCCTGCACTGTTTAACCTCTGCCTCTTTGACTGCAGCAGACGATAAATCCTGGAAGGCAGAGGCTGACATTGACATGGAGTTTTTCCATCAGGTAAGCTATAGCATCTGCTGCGTCTATTATTTGACTGTGTGGGCTGATCAAGCACTGCAAAAATAGAGGCAACTTTGCACGTCACAGACTTTGGTGTCCCCAATTGTTGCCTGACATGAATATGGAAAGAGCGGCAGATTAATGACCTACATAAACAAACAGTAAACAATATGGTTTTAGTTCTTTTTGATTAAGTGTTTTGAATATATCTGCTTTTGCAATGACACTGCAGTGATCTTTGTAATTGTCAGTGTTTTGCAACAAAATGCATGGTCTGACATCCCATTTGATTTGCAGGTGATTTGAGTGAATCATATCAAATTGTCTGATAATCTTCTTTGAAGTCACATAAAGTACACAAACCATTAAATTGTGTATATACCAGACACCAGTAATTGTTGCTCATTAATGATGTTATGAGCAAAATAGTCAGATTCAACTGCAATAAGTAAATAAATAAATAAACTGTGCATTTTTTTTTCAATCTTTGACTTTTTCACCTTTTAGAATCACCTTATTGTCAAAGTCCCTCCATATCAAAATCCAGCTATCACATCTCCTGTATCTGTTGGTATCCATGTTGTTACGAATGCTGGACGTTCCCATGATGTTCAACCATTTACATACACTCCAGAGCCAGGTCAGTGCAATCTCCATTGTAAACATGACTCTTAATCACAACAGGTTTGCTAAAAAAGTGCTTCCCAACCCCGTTCCTGGAGGCACACCAACAGTACACATTTTGGGTGTCTCCCTTATCTAACCCATCCATATCAGAACTTGGAGTCTCTACTAATGAAGAGTTGAATCGGGTGTGTTTCTTTTGGTAGAGTTTGAAAATGTATACTGTGGGTGTGCCTCAAGGAACAGGATTGGGAACCATTCATAAAAATCACTGATCTAGAAACATGCTTTTTTTACAGTTGTCGATTCTTCTGTGAAAAAGGAAGTCTTGCCTCCAGTGACACCTTGTTGTTTTGAACAAATGAAAGGTGAGCAAACATCTGTGTCTATTAGCATTACGTAATATTGCTGAATGACAGACATGGTTATGTAAGTGTCACTGGCCCCGTCTTTTGTTTCATATAGTAATAGATACTGCCTTGATGACGCCAGTTTTGCCTCTTGTTAAACGAGAAGAGGTCACTCCAATGGAGGTCTCCAGTAACCCCTCGGCCTTCAAGGTTTGTATAAATCATGAGACAGAAACCACCACAATAAATCAGTCCCTATTTCCGTATATTTTGATAAATGCCTTTGTTATCTTGTTTGCAACCCAACAGACCTCTGAAGTCATCAGTTCAGCCCAGCAAGCCTTAGAGATGAGTGCAGAGATCTCCACCAATAACTGCAAATTTTCCAATCCGCTGGCACACCAAACAAGAGAACAGGATCAATCTCAGAGCTCTGTCTTTTCCAGCAAAGAACCATTCAGCACCATCCAGGAACAGAGTCTTGCACCCAGTGGCTCTTTTCATGTGCCTAATAAATCTCTCCTCCAGCAAGGAGTTCAGCCATTCCTCTTGGAACACAGAGAGAGTCTTGGACAGGAGAGGACAGGCAACAGTGGCGGTTCAGTGGTGGGGCTCTCCCAGATTGATGACAACTCGCAGCAGCAGCTCTCACTTCTACCTCCAGATGAGGTCGCACAACTGGAGCAGGCCGTAAGGCAGCTGCAAGCGAAGGGATTCTGCAACATCCATCTCCAGAGTGAGAATTCACTGTCAAAACAAAGACACCATCAACTTCAACAGCAGCAGCAGCAAATCCAACAACAGCAGCAGCAAATCCAGCAGCAGCAACAGCAAATCCAGCAACAGCAGCAGCACATCCAGCAACAAGAGCAGCAAATCCAGTTGCAGCAGCAGCAACACCAGCAGCAGCAAGCTTTGGAGAACCTTCAACATCAGCTCTTTCAGCCCCAGGTTCAAATCCATTGTAGTTCAGAGCAGCAGAGCTCCTCCCAAGGTATGGTTCAGAATGGAAGCTCTCTCTTCCAGCAAACCCCATCACAACAACAGCAGCAGCAGCAGCAGCAGCAACAAGCATCCTTGTTTCAACAAGCAACTGACTTTCTTCAGCAGCAGCCCAGTCATTCCTCGCCTTCTCTGTTTCACAACCCTACAGCCATGACCGAAACCCAAAGCCCTCAGGAGGCTCTTTTCCACACACAGAAGACCTCACCCAATCAGGATCAGGTCCAAGCTTCGCTTTTCCAAAGCAGTCTCACGGTTCTCGGTGGGTCCAACGTGTCAGCGGAAGCTCAGCCCTCTGCGACCAATATGTTTCTTTCCCAAAATGCCATACCAGGTCAACTTGCTGTTAACGCCGGCCAGCCACAGCAACTGGCCTTTCTCACTTCTATGCAGACATCTTCTCTCGAGGCACCATCTGTATTTCAGACTCCACCCCAACTGTCCCCCATTCAGCAAGGCACTCCAATGGAGCAGCAACAATCACCACAGCGAGCCCAACCTGGCTCCATGTTCCAGAGCATCTCCCAATCACCAAGCAAACTCCCCCCTGGTCAGCAGCAGCAGGCTAGTCTACTCCTCGGATCCTTAAGTTCTCCAGTGACACAAGAGCAAACCTCCAACCTGCTATTCGGTGGCCAAGTCCAGATAGGATCAATGAACAACAACAGCCTAGCTTCTCCAGAACAACAGAACACTTCCCTTCCCTTCTCTCAGGACGGCATGGTTACAGTCAGGCAGCAGGAGTCGTCTGAACCCATGACATTTCAGGATCAAACTACTATGGTGGTCAACCCGTCCTCGAATAAGCCCATCTTCCAAGACCAGCAACCAATGCAGTTGGCACCAAGTTCTGGTACAGCCCCTTCCCAGTCTGTAAACCTCTTCATGGCCCAATCCAGCATGCAAGGGGGTATGGCTTCTCAAGAACCCCTTTTTGCACCACAAAGTGATGTAACCAGAATTCAGACTAGCACTTCCTCTCCAGTACAACAGCCTTGTCAACTCTTTCAGACCACAATGAGTGGAAGCCTCAACCAGCCCAATCAGAATCAGCAGCCAGACCTGTTCCTCTTTGAGATTCAGAACGGTTAGTCAATATTCTTGAACATACTTGCTTGTATGACTCATAATTCAGTGCCGTAACTAATTTTAACGTAGGGCTGGACAATATGGCCAAAATTTATATCACTAAATATTCAGTTGATACAATAGAATTCTGATATCGATATGAACAACATACACAGTAGGATATTTGAGGCACCTGGAAACCTAGAGATTCCCCAGAGGCAGTCTGAGGAACTGAAACGCTGCCTCAAGTCTCTCTTTTATATTTACAGTGACAGAAAGAGAAGATCAGGACACATGGGATGATGACTGCAGTTATGCCTGAACACGATTTGTAGACACCCCACTTTCTCAGTGAGCTTCGGATAACTTTGTGATTTCTATTTTTAACTGTTTAACATAATCAAGAATGCTAGTCTGCAGTGAGATCTTTATTTTCAACACTTTTTGTAAACAGTCATTAATACCTTTCTGTCTCGGTGCACTTGAGTATCTATAAGCTATTTTTCTTTTGTAAAACTCTTATGCAGTCAAATGGGGAAAGAAAATATCTAAGTGAAAAATGTGTTTGGTCATTTTCCTCCTAGTACTTTATATATGTTTTCAGTGTGACTCGTTGACATTTCATCAAGATGTCTATCTCAAACCATGTTTACTGTATTAATAATTCTAGTGTCTTTCATCTCTCTGGACTTCGATTTAAGACTAATCCGTATAATACTATACCAATTAGAAATGTTCATTCCTGCTTTAAAAAAAAGCAGTTATCAGTAATCTGAAAAACAAATCGCTTCTTATATTTATGTTTGATTATGGTTTACATAAGTCATTTCTTGCCATCTCATTTAGTTGGTGTCTGCTTTGTTTTGCATGTCTGAGTGTCCTATACACATGCATATGTGTGACATATTATTTTATGATAAAACCTCTAAAAGTGTGTCATTATTAAATTTATTCTTTTACTGATTCTAAAATAATGATAGTTTATGCTTATATCATTCTGTGTCCTTGTGATGGGTTGGGTTATTTTATTTGCCAGTGTCTGGTACGCTGTAACAAGGCCGATTGTTTTTATTGGCAAATCAGAAGGGAGTGTCCAACCAGTATTATCGACAAGGCATACATTAAATACAAATGCTGAATATGCTGGAGAAGCAACCCTTTATCTTATGTAGCGGAAAGAGTTTTTATCAATTCTCAAATGTTATAGCCAATAAATAGCCATCAGCATGTCAAAATCAAAGCCCATGTTTAACCTTTGATCCTAATTGGCCATTTTTGTGGCTCAGGTGGTTTGTATATTCGGCTATGAAGTGAGCTTGTTTTGAATGTAGAGAAACATTACGTGGGCTATATATTTAAAGCTTGTGAATGTGTTCTTGCGTCAGACGTGACGTAAAGCTGCCAAACTAGTTTGTGTGCTCAGAATAGTAGGCTGATGTGAAGTTAGTTGGCAGATTGTCTTGTTGTTAGCATCAGGATGAATATATACATTATGAGGGAGCTGTTCTCTGTAATGTCACAGAAATGGCTCGTTTGAGCCTGCTATGGTATTCAATGTCAAATTTTTGACCGTTTTTTTGCTCAGAACCTTGGGTAATTTTTTTATGCCTACTTTTTAGTAGACTATTTTATCCTCTTCTATGGAGAAGTTGTGCTTGAAGGGTGCTCTCATATATCTCTGCATGGGGAAGAACACTTTATATATGTTTTCAGTGTGACTCGTTGACATTTCATCAAGATGTCTATCTCAAACCATGTTTACTGTATTAATAATTCTAGTGTCTTTCATCTCTCTGGACTTCGATTTAAGACTAATCCGTATAATACTATACCAATTAGAAATGTTCATTCCTGCTTTAAAAAAAAGCAGTTATCAGTAATCTGAAAAACAAATCGCTTCTTATATTTATGTTTGATTATGGTTTACATAAGTCATTTCTTGCCATCTCATTTAGTTGGTGTCTGCTTTGTTTTGCATGTCTGAGTGTCCTATACACATGCATATGTGTGACATATTATTTTATGATAAAACCTCTAAAAGTGTGTCATTATTAAATTTATTCTTTTACTGATTCTAAAATAATGATAGTTTATGCTTATATCATTCTGTGTCCTTGTGATGGGTTGGGTTATTTTATTTGCCAGTGTCTGGTACGCTGTAACAAGGCCGATTGTTTTTATTGGCAAATCAGAAGGGAGTGTCCAACCAGTATTATCGACAAGGCATACATTAAATACAAATGCTGAATATGCTGGAGAAGCAACCCTTTATCTTATGTAGCGGAAAGAGTTTTTATCAATTCTCAAATGTTATAGCCAATAAATAGCCATCAGCATGTCAAAATCAAAGCCCATGTTTAACCTTTGATCCTAATTGGCCATTTTTGTGGCTCAGGTGGTTTGTATATTCGGCTATGAAGTGAGCTTGTTTTGAATGTAGAGAAACATTACGTGGGCTATATATTTAAAGCTTGTGAATGTGTTCTTGCGTCAGACGTGACGTAAAGCTGCCAAACTAGTTTGTGTGCTCAGAATAGTAGGCTGAGGTGAAGTTAGTTGGCAGATTGTCTTGTTGTTAGCATCAGGATGAATATATACATTATGAGGGAGCTGTTCTCTGTAATGTCACAGAAATGGCTCGTTTGAGCCTGCTATGGTATTCAATGTCAAATTTTTGACCGGTTTTTTGCTCAGAACCTTGGGTGATTTTTTTATGCCTACTTTTTAGTAGACTATTTTATCCTCTTCTTTGGAGAAGTTGTGCTTGAAGGGTGCTCTCATATATCTCTGCATGGGGAAGAACTGTAAACGGGAACTGGAAAAAGCGTTTTATTGTATATTTAATTGTTATTTTTGAATATTTACTCTTTCACCATACCTCTTTTTTTTAGAAAATATAAATTTTTGTCTCAAGAATTTCCAAAAATTTGAATCAGTGCCTATAGATTTAAATTAAAATGCATAATTATGACATATTTCATATGTATTTTTGTTTCTTTTTTTCCGTACAGAATGTCATCTTTTAAAGAAAATAATCTGTGTAACCTATGTACTATTGTAACATCATGGTTAGGCTGCACAGACATTGTTGAGAGTCATGCATCATAATGTGATTCAGTTGTACATTTCTGTTGTACTTTCACTATTGAAAAAAGGATATCATGGTTCTCCACTCTGGATTTTTAGGGGATTTAATAACTGGCTGGTCAGAACTAGACTTCCTATAACGATTTCATCAATCTTTTGGGAAATACAAGCCATAAAAACAAGCATTGCTCCTAAAAATTATATTTTGTATGATTCTTGGGACCAATTATAAATTATTTATAGTTCAATTATGAAATCTAAACATCTGTTTTGATTGAAAATACATTTATAAATTGATTAAAAAAAAATAAAAAAAAATAAAATGTAATGGGTAAAGTGTGCAAGTGCGATATATCTGTCCTTTGGTAGTCTTTTTCTTTAAAAAAATAATAAAAGTCACAGTTCAATATTGCAAATGAGGCTTTGCATATCAAAAATTGTTTCATTTATTTGTAAACTGAGACACATTCTTCCTACTCATCCCAGTCACAAAATCTATACTAAACAATATGCCTCTAAAATCAATTGATTTTTATATTGGTTGACATATACAGTACCCTTTGGCGGAGGAGCGCGGAGAACATGGCAGACGGAGCTGTTGTGGATGGAGAGAAACTCAGCAAAAAGTACCCACATTTATAGCATTACAGCGCTTAAACTGATTCTGTACGAAATAACACTCAAGATAAGTTTGCCTATGTGTATTATGTGGCTTATCGCGTCCGTCGTGATAAATGTCTACGGTCTACAGAAAGCTAACGGCGTGTTCGTTTATGAGAAGTCCGAGTCATTTCCGTGACCCTGTTCGTTTATAAGAACCGTTCAAAAATAAGATTTAGCGATTATTGTACGTCGTGACTGCGTAGGCTTATCTTATTGTGGCTTTTCTGCTATTAGGCTGTTAAAGTAACTTATTTTTTCGGTATTTTCTCGGTTCACTCTAAATGCTTTCACTTCTCATTACAAATCTGACGCAAGGTGAATGCAGAATACCTTGCGAGCATTACAGTAACTAACTCTTTCAATTTCTGCAATATCTTTATAGGCATGTCACACAAGCAAATAACAGTATGCTTATGCTGTTCCGAATTCGGCGGAAGTACTGCTTTTATTTGTGAACCGATTATAAAGTGATTCATAGAATCGATCCGACTCAAAAGAACGAATCATTCAGAGTCAGCTGTGTTTGTCAGGTAACTGTTAGCACCTGTCAGGACGCATATGTGTTATTATTCTAGAATGCGAAGCATAATTTATGCATCTGTCCCTGTTCATTTGAAGAAAAAAAAACAACAACGATACCAAAATATTTTTATGATAGTGAATACTAATTCCAGAGTACCATAGTATCACCATACAGTACCATCCGTAAAGCACATTTTGCTAAGGGTGCAATGAATCTGACCCTGATTTTTCTTGATTCATCAAATAGGACGTTCACATCATGTTGACTCTGGTCAGAATATGCAGGCTGCAAGCGTTCAGGCCGCAGACGTTTGCTCTTCCCAGCTCACAAAACCTGCCTTTGCTTATTGAAGGAAGTCGCTGGAGAAGTGGCAAAAGGTTGGTGGTGTTTCCATTTAATGCAAAAAGCGACCAACCTTTTGTCACTAAAAAAAATTGTGCTTGCTAAAGGCTTCCACATCTAGATGTGCAACACCAATGCCTGTAGTGTTTCTAAGCACGGCGACTGATTTTCTTTCTTATATGTCCTCAGTGAGCTGAAAAGGCGCATGAAAGCTGAGAAGAAAGCAGCTGAGAAGGATGCCAAGGTCAAAGAACATCAGGAACAGAAGGAGACCAATGACAAGTCGCAGCAAAATGCATATGGGGCCGATGAGGAAACCTTGGACCCAAATGTAAGTTGAGTATTGATTATAGAAGTCACATTTCTGGCACATAAATTCAGAATTAATTGTAACTAGGGTTGGGTATCG